ACCTCTCTTAGGTTCCTCAACTTCTTCACTCTCATAATAAAGGGTTTTCATCACTATTTGAATCAATCTTCATTTCTGCTCATTCAAAATTTAAACTGAAATCAAAAGATTTAAATTCAATTACAGTCAATAACATTCATCATCACCTAAATATTGAAATATTCATGAATATTACAGTCTAAATATTCATTCACCATCTAGGTTATATCATTTTATTTTTATTTTTTTGAAAAAGAAATCATTTACAACGCAAATCCAGTCCAAACTACAGTTCAATATTCATCAACCAATTACAATACATATGATATCAGAGTTTTCTTCATCAATAATGCAAGTCTAAAAAATAGAATGAGTTTTGGTATTGAAAAGCAATTTTTTTGGTATTAAAAAATAGAACGAGCTCTGGAATAAAAAGAAAAAAAAAATTCTTCTAAAAATCAATTCATCATACAAGCTCTGGTATTCAAATTTGATTACAATTTTCAAACAAAAAACAAAATGAGTTTTAGCATAATTAATCGCAACAATTGAAACACTACTGAGCGAATTGATTAACTAGAGCTTAATTAGCATCATTCTCAAAATCCTATTTATATATGTGTGTGTGTGTGCGCGCGTGCGCGCGCGTGTGTGTATGTATAAATATAGAGATAGAGAAGGACAAAAAATAGAGGAGAGAGAAACTAATCTGGAAATGTTTTTAGAATGAGAGGGGGACGAAGACGAAGAGGGAAAAGACGCCAAACAAAGACATCGGACGGTGGAGGAGAGGGACGGCAGAGGACAGATCTGCAAATGCTTTCAGAGCGAGAAAGGAAAGATGGACAGGGAGAAGAAGACGGAGATGGAGAGGGAGACAACAAACGCCGAACGATGAAGGAGAGGGATGGCGGAGGAGAGATCTAACACTATGTGGAACTCGATGGCCAATTGTATGAGGAGAATCTCAAGGGAAGTTCTTGGAGAGTCGAAAGGAACGGGACCCAGCTCTAGGGAAACTTGGTGGTGGAGGGAAGAGGTCCAAGCGGTAGTTAAGGCAAAAAAAGAGTGCTTTAAAAAGTGGCAGAAGGATAGAACTGAGGAAAACCTTAAGAGCTATAGATTGGCTAATAAGGAGGTCAAGAAAGTAGTGAGAGAGATTAAGTTAAAAGTTTATGATGACCTATACACTAGACTAGATAGTAAGGAGGGAGAGAAGAGGGTATACCAACTTGCTAAGATACGGGAGAGGAAAACAAGAGATTTTAATCAAGTAAAGTGCATCAAGAGTGAGGATTCTAAGGTATTGGTGAAGGACGATGAGATTAAGGAAAGATGGAAGAAGTATTTTGAGAAATTGTTAAATGAGGAACATGGAAGTACAACAATAGGGGAAGAAATAATCAGTAATACGATAAACCAAGACTATAGGTTCTATCGCAGGATTAGAAATTTTGAAGTGGAGATTGCACTTAAGAAGATGAAATCTAAAAATATATGTGAACATTAGTTAAAAAAACTAAATAGATAAAATATTTGAACAGATAGTTAAAAAGATAAACAGACAATGCCATCGAGTTTAGGTATAAACCGACGTGAAAGTTGGGGTCTGACTTACCATCGTATATCTGGAATCTCGGCATACTAAATCTTTTCGGGGCCTCAAATTTGTCCAACTCCACCGAGAATGGTGTTTTCGGCTTAACAGGGGAAGTTATCTCGGCATTTTGTTGCTTCCTCTTGAGGTAATCTCTTAAGTCCTCTTTGGTCCGCCCAGGAGCTCGACTATCTCCTAATTTCAGTCTTTTAGGTGCGCTACTCTCAACTTCGTTGTGAGCCCTTTTCGACCTTTCTTCATTGGTTGCATCGAAGCACAATTCCTGCCTTTGAACATGCCGATGTTCTCTGGGGCCTGCTTCCTTGGTGCGGTGTGTCCTTCGAGATTCTTCCCTTCTCGACTCTCCTCGCCCGACCTCCCTTGAAGGCCGGTAAGAGTGTTTTTCGCTCCTGGTGTGCTGGGGGGCTACAGGGATTGTTTTCTGCCCTCCTTTCTGGGCATTGGCCGCTGGAATCGGCGTGTCCTGCAGCGGGAATGGTGGCTGCATGACGTTGTTTTGCATCGTGAAATTGACGACCGATTGCAGGTCTGCCAATTTATTCGCCATCTCCTTCGTCTCTTCGTCCCTCCGTAGGCATCTATCTTTCCATACCTGGAGGTTATCCTCCTTATAGTATTCGTTTTGGTCTGATTTCTACGGTGCGTCGCCCTCCTGGCCGACGTCCTTTCCTCCATGATTCTTATCACGAGTCTCTTCGTTGCAGTTGTCTCCCTCGACGTCAAGGTCAATAGGTCTTCCACTTCCAGTAGGAGTGTCGTCCCCTGCTTTCTCTTTCGGTCCATCGTTGGCCATCTATCTTCCTTTCTTTCCCACAGACGGCGCCAAATTGTGTGAGTGAATTTCTGATCACACTGCCAACTCAGTATTCAACTGGAGAGCACTGGCAGAATAGATGGTGCCTGAATGACCTGCAACAGAAAGAAGATATTCCGGCGTGGTTCGTCCACTCGAGGGCACTCCGACGATCAAGTTAGTTATCTCTCAAAGATAGAAAAAAGTGCTCAATTCACTATTCATAGTACAAATTGCGTATCTTAGACCCAATGGTGTGCCTCTCTTTTAAAGCCAACACAATCCTAGTCCCAATAGAAGCGTAGCTTCAATGGACTTCTGCTCAGTGCTTATCTTGGACTCTCCAATAGATAAAGATAAACTCCCTAAGAGCTTTATCCTTATCCAAGCTGAAGTCCTTTCTCATTCTAGGACTCTTGTCCTTTATTCGCTTATCCCGGATTTCGATATCTTCGGAGATAGCCTCGGCCTAGCCGAGATCACCTCGGCCTCACGACCAGGACACGTGGCACCCCGACTGACACGTCAGCGTCACTTTGGCCACGTGTTGGTACTCAGAAAATATATCCCCATAGTTCAAGTGAGCATTATTTCCTTTAACAAACAATCAAGCATGAAAACTAAAAATAATTTTAAAAAGATATTTACATAAATATACAACACACTTTGAACGGCTCTAGAGGTATTTTTATAAATGACTTATTCTTGTACCCGCTCTAGAAATTTGTTATTCAGAATTTGATGAATGCGGCGGAGCCGAAATTCCTCTCATTTGTTATTCGAATCTATTTATTTATTTATTTTTTTATGTAAGTTTAGATCATTTGTTGTGGTTGTTTTTGATGATAATGATGAAATAGATTATTGTTAGATAAAAATTTGGAAAGATCAAATAATTCTCTTCCTCTCTCTAGAAATTGCACAGATAATCTCTATATTATTACAATAATTTATAGATAGGTTCACAAAGATAGATTAAAAAAATGAAAATAAGATCGCTATTTCAACAAATAAAATAAAAATTTAAAAGCACATTGGCTTGTAAATTTCAACAGATAAGAATTTCAGCAGATAGATATTTCAACAAATATATACAAACTTGATAGATAGTCAAAAAAATCAAACAATTAAAAATATATGTGAACATTAGTTAAAAAAACTAAATAGATAAAATATTTGAACAGATAGTTAAAAAGATAAACAGATAGATTAACGGATAAAATTAAAAATAAAATGTCTTCCCAAATAATAAATGGATTTCCCTTACAAAAATAGACTTTTTACCAATAAAAAATATTCACCGGACCTAATGCCCTAAACAATTGTTAGATTGGACTTTTCAACAATTTTCTCTTTAAACTTTTGTTAATTTTATTTATGTATACATATTAAAAATTGACAATTGTATCAAATTTGTTAATTTTTACTTTTAATTTAGATGGAAAGACCAAATTAAAACTGTATCAATATATTCAATTTAAAACTATAAAGACTAAAGTAAAATTTGAATTGAATTATAAGGATGGAAAGTGTAATTAACATTTTCAGCTTGTTTATCTTATATCTTCACATAATTTGTATTAGTTTTGATCTTTTAAATTTTATTAAAAAAAACCAGTATAATTATATTAAAATTATAGAACAAATTGTATTTTCTCCAAAAGAATTAAATATAATTTATCCTTCTTTAAACAAAAGAATCATATACCTCAAATTGATCTTCATTATTTGGTGTTGCTAAGCCTCTATTTGACAATATGGTTGAGATTAATTTAGTCAATTAAAAGATAAAATAAATTAAAAAATTAATAAAATGAAATATCAAATTCCAATTATAATCATTGCACTATTTTTTTTTATAAAAAATTTAAGAAATCAAAAATTCATTCTAAATAAAACTTTCTTAATCAAACTAAAACAACTAAAAACTCAAACTAAAAACCTTCTTCTCAAATAGCCTGAAGCGTTGCACCAAGACATTCACATGTCCTAAAGCGTTGCTCCAAGACATTCACATGTTTTTCACTTGTGTTTTAAAAGCCTACAGCGTTGCACCAACACGTTGCTCCAAGACATTCACATGTTTTTCGCTTGTTCACTTGTGTTTTAAAGACAATACTCAAAAAAGGATGGAAAATGTTAAGTATCCCAAATAATTTATCAAATTTCTCACATAAATGTGAAATTTATACAAATCGATAGATGTGTTTGGTTTGATTTTGAGAGATAAATTTTCAAAAAAAAATTTAAGGAGAGAGTTTAGAAATATTTTTAATTTGTTTGGCTGTATATTTTGAAAATAGTTTTGGAGTGTGAGAGTTTGGAATGATTTGATATTTTGTTATAATTGAATAGGTGTGCGTGAAAGAAAAAGTGAAAGAGGAAGGAGAGAAGAGAGAGAAAAAGTGATTAATTGATGTATAGGAAAGAGAAAATGATTTTGAAATTTTTTCTTCAAAATTATTAAACCAAATAAAATTTAAATTTTTTTTTCTCTAAAACTACTATTTAAAAAACAAACCAAACAAGACTTACGAATTTAGATCCTACACCTATATCAAAGATTACCTACCTTAAAAAAGGATATACTAGAAGGATATACTAGGTTGTAGCGTTGGATCAAACAACTCAAACGGTCCGAATTTGAAACGAACGCCACTAACGAAACCCCGACCCATTTTACATCCGAGGCGTTGCTAATACACTTCCACCGACTTTTCTTCTTGGTTCGGTTGTTCCCAACTTCCACTCCATATACCAAAACCCCAAACGAAAAAGCATATTCCTCTCTCTCTCTCTCTGCCCGCGAGGTCGAGGCAGCAGTTCTGCAATTCCAATGGCGGCCATGAACCGCCTTTTGAAACCCTCACAATTCTCCTCCTCCTCCGCGATCGCATCCCTCAGGCGGTGCCTATCATCAGCTGCGGCGTCGGAGACCGAGTCTCGCTTGAAATCTCGGAGTTGTCTGCCTCCGAGCGCAGATCCCAAGGGTAGGAACGTCCAGTGGGTGTTCCTGGGCTGCCCTGGCGTCGGAAAGGGCACTTACGCCAGCCGCCTCTCTTCCCTCCTCAGCGTCCCTCACATCGCCACCGGTGATCTCGTCCGCCAAGTGCTCTCTTCCCATGGCCCTCTCTCTCATCAGCTTGCAGAGATTGGAAACCAAGGGAAACTGGTTTCGGATGAGATTATAATAAGGTTACTGTCTAAGAGACTTGAGGCTGGAGAAGCTAAAGGTGAATCAGGATTCATTCTTGATGGTTTTCCTCGAACAATAAGACAAGCGGTGGGCACCTTTTCTGTTATAATGCATATTTGTTATTTCTTTCCAATTCTGTCATAAAGAGCATATTTGTTATTTCTTTCCAAATTCTATTTCTCTTTGATGGAAGGTATAAGAAGTGTGAAATGATTGAAACTAAGATCCAAAAAACAGAACAAAAGAATTTTCATTTCCATGGGAGAAAATTGTTTTAAGTTGGGAAGAAATTATTTTGAGTTGGGAAAACACTATCTTTGCTGGTTTCTTAATGTTGCAATTGCATCATCTCACTAAGAACTCGTTCAGTAATGCTAAATAGGTGTTTCAAAGCATTAGATCTGTTTCTGATACTGCCCATGGTTGGGGGAACTGTTCACATTGTCATAAGAAAGTGCAGATCAACATTGATGGGCGTTAAGTTCAGTAACCGCCGGCAATGTTGTAACTTGATGATTTTGGAATATTGCATTGTTTATTTGAATGGTTTCTATTGATAGTGTATTGAAAAAAAAAATATTTTCCAGTGCATTTGTTTTATTGAAGTCAGAAGTTATAATTTAGGCATTCTGATCTATATGGGAGCTCAGGTTACATGTCATAGAAGATACTAAATGCACTTTATTGTCTTCGATTTGACTAAATAAGTAAATGTCATAGATTAGACAGGAAACTATACATGTGTTATCTATTAAGCTGACCGCTTAGTAGTTGGAATTAAGGTCATTTGAGATACTAAATGCACTTTATTAAGGCCGTTTGGCTTCATGGGTGCAGCCTGGGGCCTGGGGGTGTGGTCCCTCCAAGTGTTAGGTTCAACTATCATTAGGTGCTATCAACTACTTCACCGGCTCTGTCTGAGATTTGCCCGATTCACGTAGAGGGGGCGCTTTGCGTGAGTTTTGAGATTAGTCGAGGTGCTCGTAAACTGGTTTGGACACCCAGTCATAAAATAAAAAGTCGTTTGAGATATGTTGAAGTGACCTTGTTCTTGTTGATGTAAGTGATATGCTTGTCCTAGATGAATTTCTGAACCTGTCATGTAGTTTCTTTTGCTATGTCCTACTCTGACCTTGGTCTTTCAGTGAACTTAATATCTGGTGTTTTATTTTGTACCAAAAAAATAAAAGATTTGGTGTTATACTCTCAATTTTTCTCAATTTTCAAATTTAATGTGGCAAATAAATCTGTTGTCTATTCTTATCCAGTTTCCTGCCATATTTATGTATATATATCATGGTCATTTGCTCATGCAAAGAAGTATGTTTGACTCTATTTTTCCTATTTTTTTTTTTTTTTAAATTTTTTCTCAGCCTCAAAAAAAGTGGAAGAAAAGGCATGATAGTTTTCAAATGAGTGGCATAGTTGGACAATGATGAGGTGGATGAAGTTAAATGGTTGTAGCGTCTGAATCTTTTTTCTATAAAAAATACTAATGCTAAAAATAATGTACAAATATTACAAACCAAGAGAGGGAGATTGAAGAGAAAAATGAAAATTTGTTTGAAAATAGCCTCTAAGAGGTAGAAACTTCTCTGAGAGATGAGGAAACAAAATGAAGTGCTCAAAGTTGTTTTTTTATTATGTGGGGGCATGTACTTCTCCAGAGAGATCTAAACATGAACATCAACAAACCACAATTAAAGAAATTCGATTATCTATTCTGTCAATTTTCAACTCTACACCCTGAGAATGTTCTCTTTCTTTCTTTCTTTTCGAAGGGCACAAAGCACTACTAAGATACAGTTTTTCTTTGGTTACTTTCCGAATAGTGGTTTCAGATTAATAAAGTGCACAACAGCTATGTTAGGGCCAGTGGACTAATTTGATATTATTTTTCTCAATTTCTCAGTCTCTCAAATAATTTCTTTCTTTTGCTTTTTCCCTTTTCTGGTTCTCAAGTGTTTGGTTTCATCTGCTTTCTAGGAAATATTGGACGAGGTGACATATATTGACTTGGTGGTCAATCTAAAGCTCCCAGAAAATGTACTGCTTGAGAAATGCCTTGGGCGAAGGATTTGCAGTGAGTGTGGAAAAAATTTCAATGTGGCCTCCATTAATGTCAAGGGTGAGAATGGGAATCCTGACATTAGCATGGCTCCACTTCTTTCTCCTCCACAATGTGCTTCAAAGCTCATCACACGGTCTGATGATACTGAAATTGTGGTAAAGGAACGCCTTCGCATATACAATGAAAAGGTAGTGCTTGATCTTCATTGTTCTTTGCAATGGCATTGATTTTGTCACTAATTCCCTTTTGCTGGAAAATTAAACATCCGTCTGAATCTTTGTTGCTGTAAAATATGAAGACTTATATAGTGGTCCTGTAATGGTGGGTCTATGTTTTTCTTGCACTAGTTTGAAGTTATGCTTTGGTAGGAAAAAACCATGATAATTTGTTGATGCAAAGATTTTTATTGGTTGTAGAATGAGGCTTCTCAGTTGTATTGTAAAGTGATTCCTGTTTTATTTTGAAGTGATTCTTGTTCATTGTTACCTGAAAACACTAATACCCGAACGATTTATGTTTTGGAACACATTCAAAATATGTTACACTTCTGTTCTAAAGCGGGAAATTTAGTGATCCCAAAATTTTTCTTTTATATTTTCTTAGAAGTTTCCTATAGGATGGAAAGAAAAATCAAATATAATGAATTAAAATCTAGAGAGAATAGAGTTTTTGCATGACCAAATGTAAAACAAATGGGTCATAATGCTTTTGGAATAATATTTTTTACATGCTTAATTTGTGACTATATTTTATTGGAAGTCTTAACTATTGAAATATAATAGCTATCTTATTTAGTAGTCTCTTAAATTCTAGTAGCGTGATTTATACAACCCTGTCCCTATTGTACTATATTTTAGAGCATGTGGCGTGTCACATTTCTGTTCCTGTTATTTATTGTGGTTTATGGTTATAAAAGTTCAATCCTACTCCTGTTGCCATTATTTATTGTGGTTTATGGCTCATAAAAGTTCAATAGTAAGAAAGGACTCTCTGTGATGGGAATTTAATACATGCTGCTATTCTTTATTACCTCTCTTTATTATTGGTCCTTCATTTTCTATCTGAATATAATTTTAGCTTTTAGGGATCTGGGTAGCAAGTAAGCTCATTAGTATTTTCAATCCATAAGAGTACAATCATTGATAAGGTTATAATACCATGTTAACATGCTTATTTCTTTGACAAAACAGCCCTGACTGGTTGCTTGCCGAACTTATTTCCAGTTAAATCTCTAGCTTTTCAGATGCCCATTTAGGGCAAGATTAAATTTAAGATGGAACAGTTTTTTCGCTTATGATATTGTGTAGTTCTTTTCTCCCCCTAATAGACGAACATGCATGCTACTTGTTTCATTCTAGACATGATAACATAGTAAAGGGTGTCTGTCTTATAGACTCAAAGCCACGCGTGGTAAATAGTAACGAATATGAATTTTTCACAAACAACTATATGTATTGAATAGCATATTCAAAATGTGTGATTTGATTACTGCGCTGTTTCTGAATTCCTTTTGTTCTTATGGTAACTGTATTTGCCTTGGGATTATACCCAATGATGCTTTTGGTTTACATGATGTGTTTACAGAGTAAGCCTTTGGAGGAGTTCTACCGAAATCAAGGAAAGTTGCTGGAGTTTGATCTGCCTGGGGGGATTCCAGAGTCGTGGCCGAAGTTGCTGGAAGCTCTTAATCTCGATGATCGTGAAGAGAAGCAGTCTGCTGCAGCGTAAATTCTCACTAATTGCTTTCTAAGTCCTCATTATTTGCATGTGTAAAGTTGCATGCCTGGCAATTTTGCAGAAAGAAGAGAAGGATTTTTTTTCATTTACTTATTTCGATAGTCTGAGGGGAAATAATCAAAACATGGTTAATAACCCAGCCATGTGATCATGGCATTGGACTTCTATTTCACCAAGAGGTCTGTTGTACCCTAATATATGAGAAAGAGGGAGAGCATAAAGAATTTAGGTTTTTTTTATTTTTTTATTTTTAATTCTAATTTCTTTGTCTTGGTAGACTTTAATGCTATGTTTGGGTTATAAATTTATGAGTAAACCCTCTTGTAGATTGATGATGTGGCAGCTTCTTTTTGTTATAAAGGCATGTTCTTTGTTTTGTTTATTTCTATAGCATCATTCAATGTAAATTTGTATATGCTTTATACCACAAAGATGATAACAATTACATAAATTAAATGATTGTAGCAAAACTTGGAATGAATATATATTGAATCAAAATAAATCTACAATCTTTCAATAGCTTTCAACCAACAATTTGAATTCAGGTAATTAAAGTCAAACCCTTAAAGAGAGGTTGTATCTACTTTACAGTTGTGGTGCACTCTCCTTTCATTTCAATTCGAGGAGAATCAGATTTTCATTAACTTTACAGAAAATTTCTCATATACTTTTTTCGTTAAGAGTGGATCCTAAGGGTCTTGCCTTGAGAGTGTTCTAAATATCAAACAAAAAAAAAAAAAAAAAAAAAACGCCACCGGGGATTTTCGGGGTCGGGGATCCCCGACCCCCGATCGGGGGCGGGGATGGGGCCGGGCTATGGGTCCCCGTCAGGGATCGGGGACGGGGACGGGGACGGGGCGCATATAAATTTCGGGGACGGGGGGAGTAGTCCCCGGCCCCGCCCCGCCCCGTTGCCATTCCTACTCACGACAGCCAAGCACCACCAATTGCCAATCATCTTTACCACTCTCTCATCTCTCTACTTTAGCCACCTCCAGTCTCTCGGAACCAAGCACCATCCTCAACCTCCATTCTCCCACCCTCATCCGGCCACCCCATCACCTCTCCCGACTCCCCCAAATTCTCAACTACTGTCCCTACCCCCTTCTTACCCCTCCATCACCTCCCCCAAACTCTATCATTGTCCCTGCCCACTTTCCATCCCTCCACCACCACTTTATCACCTCCTCCTTCCTTTATCAAATCCTACCCAAATCAGTCATATCCATGGTTGATTGAAGATTGAAGTTGAAATTGAAGAGATGACCATGGTGGCTATTGGGTGTTCAGTCTAGGAGGAATAAAAATGGAAGTTGCATAAAATTAAAAATGAAAGTTAATTCAAGAAACCACTATAACATAACGATTTATTTGGAAATTGAATGGAGATGGAAATTGAATAAAAATAGAAGTTGAATAAAAATAGAAATAGAAACTGAATAAAATTAAACATGGAAGTTCATTCAAGAAACCACTATACCTTAACGATCTATTTGGAAATTACATAAAAAAAGGAAATTCAACTGAAAAAGAAATTGAATAAAAATGGAAGTTGAATAAAAATAAAAATGAAAGTTGCATAAAATTAAAAATGGAAGTTTACTCAAGTAACCACTATACATTAACGATCTATTTGGAAATTAAATAAAAAAAGGAAATTGAATAGAAAAGGAAATTGAATAAAAATGGAAGTTGCATAAAATTAAAAATGGAAATTCATTCAAGAAACCACTATACCTTAACGATCTATTTGGAAATGAAATAAAGAAAGAAAATTAAATAGAAAGGGAAATTGAATAAAAAAGTAAGATGAATAAAAATGAAAATGGAAGCTGCATAAAATTGAAAATGGAGGTTTATTCATGAAACCACTATACCTTAACGATCTGTTAGGAAATTAAATAATAAATGAAATTCAATTGAAAAAGAAATTGAATAAAAATGAAAGTCGAATTAATATAAAAATGGAAGTTGCATAAAATTAAAAATGGAAGTTCATTCAAGAAACCACTATACGTTAACGATCTATTTGGAAATTAAATAAAAAACGAAATTGAATTGAAAAGGAAATTGAATAAAAATGGAAGTGGATAAAAAATACCAATGGAAGTTTCATAAAATTAAAAATAGAAGTTCATTCAAGAAACTACTATACCTTAACGATCTATTCGGAAATTAAATAAAACAGTAAATTGATTGGAGATGGAACTTTAATAAAAATTGAAGTTGATTAAAAATAGAAATGGAAACTGCATACAATTAAACATGAAAGTTCATTGAAGAAACCACTATACCATAACGATCTATTTGAAAATTAAATAAAGAATGAAATTGAATGGAAAGGGAAATTGAAGAAAAATGGAAGTGGAATAAAAATAAAAATGGAAGTTGCATAAAATTAAAAATGGAAGTTTGCCTTGGATGATTTGAATCCATCATGTTTTAAATATGTCATTTTTTTCTCTTTTTTAAACATTTGATTTAACCAACAAGGTTATTTTGATTGGTTAAAATTTTACATTTTATTAAAAATTAGTTACTTGTGACTCTTATTCACATATATTTATTATATATTACATTTAATTTTCATCATAATAATCCAAAAAATAATAAAATAGAAAATCTAACTAATGTTGTGTCCATAGGTTTTTATATACCTTTTTGTAAGGTTGTATCCATCCAAAAGAGTTGCTACAAGAACAACAAATAGATAAGAATTTGGAACCATATTGAAAATCCTAAAGTGATTCGTGATTAGATCAAGATTAAAATATTTCAAATCCCAATTATTCAAAACATGCAATCTAAATCATCAAGCACTTACGAAAGTGATTTAGATTGTTGTTTTTCTGAATAAACAATAAATTGACACAAACGATTTTTACGTGGAAAAAACCACAGTTGAAGAACCTTCAATTGTAATCAAAAACCACGGGCGAAACGCCACTATCAATCCACTACTGAAGAACAAAAAGATTCAAAGATACAATACAAAATTACCCAACCCAGTCAATTTGTCTCTGAGTCTTCTGTAACTCTTTTCACCACACCTTCGTCACGGAATTGATCTTGAAGTTGATTCTACACCACAACTCCACTTGTCAAATTAACGACTACGTAGAATCAAACGCCTTTTGAATTCTACGCTTTAATCTTCGGAATCCACCGAAGAGAACTTTCTTGTAACTTAAGAAGCAACCTCCTTGATGTATGAATCTCAATGCATAAGTTCAGAACTCTCTCAAGAACATCAAGGAAAACTATCAAAAATCTCCAAAGAAAACTTTAAACACAACCCTAGTATGTTTAGATCAGATCTAGGAAAACGTGCTTCACAAAAACACCCTTAACAGCTTTAAATAGGAATCTGGATCCGCGATCTCCGCTCGAGCTCACCACAGCCCGCTCGAGCGGACTGACCAAAAACGGCGTGTGAATAAGCCGAGTTGCGCTCGAGCGTATGATAATCCGCTCGAGCGTAAAATCACACCCACCAGTATTTGTGTTTGCCCTGTCAAAATACTGAGACCTGCTAATCTACGCTCGAGCTCACAAGTCTCCGCTCGAGCGGACAGAACAAAAACACAAAAAATTACATTTGAACCACCACAATGTTTTGTCTCCGGATTTGACAACATAGGGACCTAACAATCTCCCCCTTTGTCAATTCCCGGACAAAACCTTTCTAACCCTTGTTCCTTACACACATGCACTATAAAAATTTCAAAACAAATAAACAAAACACTCTTTTAAAACCCGAAAAACACACAACTAGAGAAAGACTTCATTCATTCAACTTCATCCACTTAGGCGCGTGGTCCATGAGCCTGAAAAAGAACACCCAAACACAAGCCAACCAAAAACAGGTGGAACTGGATTAAATAACCAAAAAACCAATCATTAGCAAGCAAACCAGTATCCATAAATCTATATCCATCCATTCATAAACATATATCCAAAATAGAACCAGTAAGAAAAAAAATATACAAAAAACATGTAATCAAAATCTGGTGAGATCAAAGATCAACTGATCAACTGTACCCACACCCACACATCACTCCCTCTTTTTGACCGGGAATGGAGAAAGCAAGAAATCAAGCACCAGGTGGAGGAGGGGCTGGCTGAAGCGTCAGTAAGGAAATGATGTGGTCCAGCTGCGAAGTAGTGTGAGCGGCAGTCTGCTCCAGCTGACCAAGACGACCATCAAAGGCGTCAAACCGAGCATCAAGAAAGTCTAACCTCCGGGTCATAGCCTCCTCAAAGTGCCGAAACTGATCAGGAAAAGAGCTAGGTGGAACAGGAGCCTCATCATCATCACCGGCTGCGGCGGCATCAAACTCGGCCTCTTCAGCAAGACCAGCAGCAACTCCTGCAGAAGGACCAACCCGGGATGACTCCCCCTTAATATGGGCCCGACTTTGAGACACAGTTTTCTTGGTAAAAGGGTGAGAAGGAGAGGCAAACTCATCATCTTCTAGGATAGGGGTCCCAAGGTCAGACAAAATTCGGTTGATCAAGCAACTGTAGGGAAGGCCAAGTTTTTTATGCCCATGAGCACTGATCATCTTTCTGATAATAAGAGAGGCGAGATCAATAGACCGGTGACGGGAAATACAGGACAAAATGAATCCTTGGTCTTGTTTGACCTCGGATGAGTGTGTAGTGACAATGATGTTGGCACAGACAATCAGATTAAGCAGTCTGAACTCCGAAAGAAGTTCAAACTGTTTAATCAAACCGCCTTTAGGCCAATGACGGGCAACACCACACAGTTCCAAAGCCACATCATCAAAGTCATAAGTAGGACGATCAGGAACAGGGAAAGGATAGTATTGGGGAAAGACTTGCTCAATCTGAAGAAGTTGGCGAATCAAAGCAGGGGTGACGGAAATAGATTTTGACCGAACCCATGTAGTGAAAGATGGCTCATAATCATGAATACCCTCCATATTACAATAGAATTCTCGAACCCAATCTAGATTCTGACGCCCTGAAAACAATAAAACAAGGTCACCACCTAGAGGGTCGAACAAGGGACGAATGTGGATGGACTCAAAAGTATCAGGTTCAACATTCCGTTCTAAATGAACTGTGCGAGACACAAAAGATTTGTGGAAGGACTTGGATTGTGTGGCCGACTGAAACCTATCAGGGTTATAAAGAGGGCGAGAGACGGTGGCCTTTCGGCGTTTAGGCACAGGAGCAGACATGACGAAAAGGACACTATAACACCCAACAAACCAACAAACCCAAAACCCAAACCACATCAAAACAAAAACAAAGCAAATCATTAGTTCAATAACCAAATTAAAGAACAGGGCATGAAATCCGCAATGGGCAATGCAAAAGATCAAGCATGAACAAAGTGGAGCATGGGATTGA